AATTTTAAATAATTTTTTAATTTTGTTTGGGTTATTTTGTATACCTTATAAGTGTTTTTTTAGGCCCTACAAATTTTGACTAATATACGTTGGTGAACATAACGAACTACTTTTAGTCTGAGTATCAGGTCATTGGAGAGTTCCTGGTAATGAGATATCTAGTAAGGCTTACATCAGATATTTCTGTGGTCGCAACCAGTCATACCATTCCCTCTTTCGGCTATTCCATCCGCCGAAGCGAGCGTCCAAAACTGGATAAATATTTCGCTCAGCAATGGCAGGAAAGCTTCAAGGAGCTGAAAGGAAACATACCTCATCTTACTTTCAACTTCAGATAGTATATCGAGTGCTTATATTCAATACCATTTAGTTATTTGCAATTTTCACAAAAGCTACTTTATGATGTTAGAACCCCTCTAGGATTTACCTGTCATCATTACTGGTAATTATGACTCTGCAATTTAATAGTAAAATCTTATGTCAAGCGTTAAACAAGCATAAATATCAACGATGACAGTTAAGTCTTAGGTGGATTTTTATACCAGAATTTCATTTTTGTGAAAAGTGCCGATAGCGGGTATTGAATATAAGGCCTTCATATGTATGTAGCTGTGTATTTTCTTCCATTGGTATATTGATTTGCATACATCTTGTGTGAATGCTTATTGGTCAGCGTGACTGTCATATATGACAGCCCCTTTTGTCCTTCGAACCCCGTTTTCCTAGAAGTGAATTAGATGGCGGTACACTTTTTCTGCTTCTGTCCCGCCTTTACAAAGGTTAAAAGGTAAAGGTAGTTTGAAAGATTTTGTTTATTGTGACACGAAAATATTATAGAATAAAGCTTCCTTGGCAACTTTCATGGTGAAAAGCTCCACTGCTCCAACAATTGTAATGGCAAAGTGAGCAAAACACTGGCGTGTCGTTTCAGAGATCTGAACTCAAGTCCACGGGCAGCGTATTTTTTTTTTCTCTTTTTTTTAATAATTTGCTTTTAATTCTAAGACTGTATTGTTTTAAAACAAAAAAAATATTCTTTTGAATTTGATTTTTTATCATAGAAACTTATTTTACCTTTTTATTTTACCTTTTTATTTTTTTTCTTAATTTTTAGGTTTTAAAAAGAAAGATAATTTTTTAACTTCATTTAATTTTAATACTTTTTTATTGAATTCGCTTTTAATTTTTAGATACGTTTTTTTTAGAAAAATATTTTTTTATTCCTTGTAACTTTTAGGAACCTTTTTAATTTTTTATTTATTTTTTTAGCAACAGTTTCTTTTGATTTCTAATTGCATTATGTTATCTTTTATATTCCTTTCTTTTTTTCATTTTATTTTACAAAGAAACATATTTTTTTTTTATTTCGTCAAATTTTTAGAAACGTTTTTATTACCTTTTTTCTTTTCTAAATTTAATTTTCTTTCAATTTATAGATTTTATTGTTTTAATAAGAAAAAAAATAGATGTATATATTTTTTAATTTTATTTGAATTTTAGAAAATTTATTGCTAAAAGATAAACAGAAAAAACTCCTCGTTAGCAGATTGCTCAATTTTTCTGTCAAAAGTCAGACAGTTGCCAGAATTGCCCTGTTAGTGGTGTTTTTCTTAACGAATGGATCCTATTAGGTCCTACAAAAAAATGCGGAAAATTCAGAATGCCCACTACTCTTAGGAGTTTTTACACGGTCCCTGGTCAGAGTAACATTTTAAGTACCGCTACACCCTTTTGCTCGTTGGTTGAAATAATTTTTGGAAATAATATTATGGAGGATGAAGCGATTTTTTTTCTTATCCTCCTTCATGGTGAAAAATTTATATTTCCTGAAGCTCAAAATTTTACCAGTGGATTCGGACGTGCTGGTGTTGCTTCTGCGCCGGAATATTTAGTGATCAGCGACAAGGTAAATATAAAGATTAACTGGACTGGCAGAAGGTAACAGCATTTAATTATTTGGTCTTTCGGAAGATTTGTGTACATATGTGCATATATACATATATATAATTTTATCTACTTATATATGTAACTGAGTTTTATCTATTTTAAGTTTTAAGGTTTTATATGTTAAGTTTAATCCATATTTTTGATTGTACGAGTGTTAATTTGTGGATTTGTTTCTTTGATTGCTTAAGAGTTTTAATGTGTATAATTTATAATTTCGGCAAGCATTTGTTTATCAAGCGGGCAGGCAGCAGACAGCAGGCTTTGTGTGGCAAGAACATAAGAATTTTTTTGTGCGTTGATTTGATTTGTTTTTTTTATAAAACTTACACAAGTTTTTAATTTAACATTAGCATTCAAAATTGTTAAAAACAAAATTGACCACCTTTGTTAAAAACTAATTTGGCTTAAAGACTAGGATTTTCCAAAGATTTCCAATCTACAATGTCGTGCTTTTTTTTTTTTGAACATTAAAAAAAAAAATAAAATAATTGTATAAAGAGCAGAAGAAATTATGAAAACTTTTTAAAATTGCTTAGCAAAATTAAAGATTCATAAACTATGTAAGTATATAAATTGTCATTCAAACATTCCCCATATGCGATAGCTAAATTTTGAGTCACAATAAAAACATTGACTTAAAAGAAAATTTAAAATTTTCGCTACTAATTATGGCCTGAACTGAAAAGAGGTTTTTGTTTGTACTCCAATCGCTCAATTCTAAATATCGGAGGTAGAATCATCACTACCGGGCGGTATGATTGGCGTCTCATATTCATAGTAGACGGGATAGCGCGGCTTGAAGGAGTCTGTCGTGCCATTTGAGACAATGCTACTCAGGCTGACATTTTGCAAGTATTCGCTGTCATCACAGAATTTATCACTTAACGCCATGGCATCCTCGTAGGAAGGTGGCACTGATAAACAAAAAAAATTAAAATGAAACAAGAATATTAAAAAAAGTCCACAGATAAATCTGGCTATTTCACAGCACTAAACTCACTCATAAGTTTGTAGTCGGGCGGATTATCACCATCGGTTATAAGCAGTGCTGGCACCGTTGTTGTTCCACCTTCACTCTCGCCCGCCACTTCCAAATTTCCGCCATACTCTGCTCCCCCGTCAACATCTGCCACACCATGTTCCCCTTCGCCTGCATTTTGTCGCATCATTGCTATATCCTGCAGCCTACGCCCACTATAGTAGCCACGACTTGTGGCATATTGTGTTTGTAATAGGCTTGGCAGTCCTGCTGCTGCAGCCATACTATCTATAATCGGTATACTACCAATTGTTAATGGTATTTTCAATTTCATTTTCCAATGAAAGTCAGTTGGTTTAATTATGACTTTTATCAGATACATAATTGAGATAGGACAAGCGATTTTCACTGATGACGGCGGTATGGAG